TGAAACGATTTTAAACTTAAAGGAGGTAACTAAGAGGAGGCTGCTTTCACGTGGGGGGGGGGGGGGGGGTAGTGTTTTTAAGCAAATATTTTCAATGGCAGCATTGGTACTGTCGAATTCACAAATTATAAATTACTGAAAAGTAGAAAAAAAACAACTAAATAGCGGCGTATGATACGCAGCGGATCGGCTCGTATATATTAAAAGGCTGTGGGTTTGTTTGTGTTTCTTTTGTATGCATTGTACATTTTTGAGCAGATAGCTGAAAAAAACTTTGGGAAGTTGCCAAGAATATTACTCGACAGGTTTCTACGAAATAAAATATTTTAGTTTCTGAAAAGCAGCGCAACAGCACGGTGCGGCTAGGCACTTGGGATACGTTGACTGGGCGTCCTGCAAATATAGCTAGTGTTACTCCTTGATTTATTGATCAATCTGTACCTAACGCTTCAGCCGGTGTAACGGAGCACCATGGGTTCCTATTTAAACACTATGGTACCTACATTTGTTTTAAAGAGAACTCTACAAAAGAGACACGGAGCCCACTACTTTTGATGACTAAACCCTCCCTGGGGGGGACGGGAGGGATTGGCGTTACTGTAGTAGTGTAATTTGTAACTTCTTTGACCGTACATCCTGCCTTTTGCATACGGGCGGTAGAGAAGACAAATCCGTATACAAAAATCTAGGATTAAAGACAAAAAGGGTTCAAATTCCCTACCCCCAGCTGAGGATTGGAAACACAACCTAAGCCCAGGGAAGGATAACCCCGAGTTCATCTTCGACTGGAGCCACCTTGAGTTGTTGTACTACACCGTCCACGTTTATATCAAGAAAGTCTCAAAGTCCCAGTACCTAAGCTTGGTGCTCAACATTACAGAGAAGGAAGTCTTGGCACTCAGGATCATAGTTAGACCAGGTTAGTCTGTAGGCCTATATCGTTTTGGTACTACAAGATATGGCACACATTATTAAAATAAAATAAAAATATAATATTTAAACACGACTCTCATGTGCAAATAGCGGTGCTTAACATATGCCATTTGTGAGCTTCTAATTGTTTCAAATGTCCATTTGATGAAATAAACCGTTAGGGATCTCCCCAAAACTTTCTCGAATATTCTAATAGAACATAATCTAGTAGAAAAAATAAACTGGGAGTGATCTCCCCTAAACATTCTCGAATATTCTTATATAACACTACGGGGAATGGCAACTCGGGATATAGACAATACTTTATAAATTCACATGCGTTTTTTGAGAAATACTCAAGTTATAAGCTTTTGAATAATCCAAAGTAAAAAATTCCACTTCCGGTTATCGGAAATCACTCAAAAGTTGAAACTGATCTACGATTTTGATATAATACTTTTCCGACAAAATTTAGTAAATCTGGATTTAAAATAAGATCCCTATACTCCGTATACGATGAAGTAGAGAGATGTAAAACGGTAAAAATTGTCAAAATTTCATGTAATTTTTGTGCACAATTACATTACTATCTGTACACTCTGTATACGAGAAAGTAAAAAGACACTTTAAATTGGCGGTCTAAAGTTGAACGATCAAAGCCTACAACCCGTTTGATATACGATAATAAATGTTTATAAATAAGTTTTTTAATTGTCCATGTAGAAATAATGTTATTTATTGAATCATTTTGCAAACTTTATTAACGTAATGATTTAGCATGGTATAATTGTAATATGCAAACAATTATACATTTTCTACCTTTAATTATAATAAAATGGGTACTTTAATAATAGATAAAGCAGTTTTTAAATATCTTTAGCAATCTAGCTTCGATACTGAGCCAAAAACGGTAAACCTGAGACCAACAGCACATATAATGGAATATCCTCATGGGTCTAGAAAGACAAACATGAATGACACTGTCATCCCACCCGTTTGGAGTTCACCCCGATCTATTTTTCCTCAAATTGAAAATGGTTTTAAGCTGGTTAATTTTATTTTCTATGCACACCGCCTTGTGCACAGAAGAGAAGTGAAAATGTGAGCTGACAACAAAACCGCAAAGGATGCTACTTTAACATTGTTAGTGCTCAAACACTATTCTAATCTAACCTACAACTGACACGTAAAACACACAATTTACAAGTGTAAACAAAATCCCTCAAGTCATGTAAATGCAGGTTTTATTTACACAAATTGTGAAATCATGTTTTAGCTCAATAATAATGTAACTCACGAGATCATTATTTGTATAATCCGTTTGATTGATTTTTCTCCAAAAAATATTATTAGCGACCTTTACAGAGTTTTTCGATTTCCGATGTTGAAGGACGTTTTACAAAATATGCTAAATGTTAAAGCTTCATCTGATTTCATTTTTGTAAACTATTGATTTCTTTCTTCACAAACAGCGTTCGTTTTTACAAGCTTTTATTTAACTCACTTCCTCTGTCGTCAGTCGTCAGTCGACAGTCTGTCTGTCTAGATAGAAACGCCAGAGTGAAAATACGGAAACTTCTACTTGACCGATACAATTCACATTTGGCACGTGGGTCAAGACATGAAGACAATGCAATCTGAAACTAAATTTGACTTAATTGGATGCCTAATTAATTTTTTATGAATTAATAAAAATTTGGACCGAATTATTAGGCATGTCTAGCCAACCACACCACACGCGTCATCACCTTCAATAGCTGCGCCATCACGTAATGGTTTTTAGTCATGTAACTCTATTGTAAATAAAACATGTAAAGTACTGAAAAAAAAATTCATAAAAAACGTTTTAATAACAAGCTTTTATGTAATGATGCACTAAAAAGTAGAACATAAATTATAGACTACTATTTAAATAACTATAAAGAAAAGCGTGGGTGTCTTCCTTAACATTAGTAAAGGTATCCAATAGATACTAAAGTGACCCACGCTTTTCTTTATAGTTATTTAAATAGTAGTCTATAATTTATTTTCTACTTTTTAGTGCATCATTTCATAAAAGCTTGTTATTAAAACGTTTTTTATGAATTTTTTTTGTTTGTAGATTGTTGATAATCTCGTAACTTTATTTCGACCCATTTCTAAAGCAGCGATTTTGTTCAAACATTCCAGATACATTTTTCTCCATTCGCAATAGAAAAATACTTATTGTTTGTGTGATTAGACGTTAGATTTGTCATTAAAAATTTAATTTAATAATAAATTAATTCGATAATAAGAAGAGTAATACAAATAGTATGTACTAGCGATCCTTCTATCGGCTGACCAAAGAAGGTGAACTAATTTGTTTTAGAATGATTGAATTATTTGCCTGAGTGCTGACAGTGGACAAGTCCTATTATGCCGGATTTATTCTATCTTTTAAAAAATGTGTTTAAGTGAATTAAGTTCTTTTACAGACCCTGAACTTACAGCCTGAGGTTGTTTTTAACTTTGTACTTATTTCTGACGCTAATTATTGATACGTCGCTAGTTCGATACAAAAGCCAGCAGTGGAAATTTTTTTTAATAAAAATTAAAGATGTCATGAAAGGAGAAATAGCCTTACTTATAACATTCTGGAAAACGGTTAATCTCGTTATTGAGGTAGAGATTAACATAGATCTACCGTCAATTTTCATGGTATAATTCTTACGAATGGGTATTTTAAAGCATTGCTGTCCTGTTTCTACAGCTCTACAATAACAACAGTAGTTATGAAAGGACATCCTAAATCTGTATAGCATTAGTTGTCCGGAATAGGTTTTTTTCTGCAACTCCTATTCAAGATTAACAGCATATTTTATGTCACTTCTGTTTGCTATACACACAAAGAAAACATACAACGTCAGTTGTATATCCTTTCATGCTTAACGCAACTACTGTGGGGACTCAGTGTTGAACCTGTAGGTACTCAGTGTTGAACCTGTAGGTACTCAGTGTTGAACCTGTAGGTACTCAGAGTTAAAGCTGTAGGTACTCAGTGTCACTGCTATGTGCAATCATTGTTAATAATGTGGATAAGCCTACTCAGTTTTTTTTTCTACGAGGAGAGGGGAAAGACACTTGAATCTTTCGGGATGCGACCTAAATTCTCGGGAGATGAGGCGGACATAAAAGATGCCTGCAAGAAACACTTCTTTAAACATATACATATATTCATAAATGTATATAAATTATATATATATATATATATATATATATATATATATATATATATGTTTATATAGGCATCACCAAAAATATAACATTTCTTTATTTATAAGCAAAGGAGGCTATTATATATATATATATATAAAGCAAAAGTAACAAAATATAGTTCAAAATTGTCATGCCCTTGAAAATTACCGCAGTTACTATATTTAGTATCATATTTAAGAGCACGATTGAAAAAAAAAAATTAAATCTTTTAAAAATAAAAAAATAAAAAATATTTAACAACATAATAATGTGTATTTTGTCCTACTTTGATTCTGAAGAATAATAAATATTTTTAGAAATATTTTTTTCCTTTCAGGCTATGCATTCACACACAATATACAAACTTAATGGGCAGCCTGGTGTAAAGTGCTAGACTGTTAACCCGAAAGTCTCGATGTTAGAGTCCGGTTTCAAGTCTGTATACTGTTCTTGGGTCCACCCAGAAATTAAGGCGAGTAGTGCTGACCACACTATTCCTTTATAAGCCAAGATAACTAAAGCATATGGATTCTGCTTCGTCAACCTACTGTGATACGGGCAAAAACATGTTGATGGTAGCGAATATCATTTAAAAGGAGACATGTATAATTATAATACATTCAACAATATAAAACAAGATGTAAAATAATTAGGCCGGCACAAGACGCTGAGCATTACTTTGAATATTTTTTTTAATACTTGTACAACAGCGACGTACCCCACAGCGAAACATTAACTTCTTACATCGATGCTACCGGCAGGTAAATCAAAGTAAACGTGATATAACATATTTGTATGGAATAGATGTCCATGGTAAGAAATTAAAAAAAAAGACGGTAAATAAAGTTAATTAAAATTTGAGTTTTATGCTT